AAAGAATAGTTACCGGTATCGTCGATGCTTGTGCAATCGGCCAGGTCGAGGTGGGTGAGGGCCGGCACGTGTGCGAGGGCGGTCAGCGCGTCCGAGGAGAGCCGGTGGTTCAAACGGAGGCCGAGGGCCGTGAGCTGGGTGCACAAGCCGCCGCCGAAGAGGGTCTCCAAGGCTCTGCACATTGTAAAGCGAGAGAGCGATGTAATCAGCAAACGCTCAAGGACAAAAACACACGACGACACGATGATATGACGATTTCAAGAGGGGAAGCATACGCGGCGTCAAGTTGGCAACGAACTAACTCGAGCGTGCGCCAATTGACGCACTTGTCGCGCAGGGCCTGCAGCACCACTGCCGCCTGTTTGAATGAAGACATGTAGGTTATGTGATGAGATTCCCCAGACCTGGGATGGCACCACGGCACACAGTGAAGAAGTGCGAACGTTGTCCATGTCCTCGAAGAAGACGTGCTCCATGGCCGTCGGTAGGTGTGCGAACGTTTCCGCGCACCACTACGTTCGTTACAAACGCGAAGAAGAGAGATGTGAGAGATGTGTGAGTGCAACAACCAACAAATCGTGACCAGCAAATCCCGCGATGAGGAGAGGGGCAGGTACCACAGCAGTATGCAGGCCGAGACGCATCACACGCAAGCGGGGGCTCTTGGCGAACAGGTAGTCGAGACCAGCCGGCGTGAATGAATACTGGGACCTGAAATCCACCGACCGCAGCGACTCCCCGCAGTGGTCCGCTGCACACATAACCTCTCATGTCAGTAACGCACACCAACACACAACACACAACACACGTAACACCACACACACACACACACACACACACAACACACAACACACAACACACACACAACATGACACAGATCGTACCGAGTGCGCTGAGTGAATCGTCGTCGAGATTCGAGCAGCCGGTGAGCCCGACGTGGGCCAGGCCCGGGTTGTTGCGGCACAGCAGAGCGAAGTCGTCCTTGGTTATATCGCAGCTGTCGCCCAGCTCGAGCCGGCGCAGGCTGGTGAGCTGCGCGAACGCGGCCAGCTGCTGGTCGCGCGCCCTGATGATCGACAGCTCGCGGAGCCTGGTGAGGCGCGTGACGTGGGTCATGGTGGTGTTGTAGGGCACGGTCAGGTTGGTCAGGCTCACGAGCGTGTCGGCGTGCTTGAGCAGGCCCTCGTCGACCCACACGTCGGTCAGCTTGTAGGTCAGGCTGGCGAAGTGGATCTTCTCGAGGCCTGGGTGGAGCGTCAGCACGGCCGTGATCTCGTCCTCCTCCCAGTCGCTCACCGAGCCGCAGCCGGCCAGGTAGGCCTCGAGCCTGATCTCCTTGATCTCGGCCAGGGCCGGCACCAGGCGCTACGGTTTTCGATCGAAAGTTGTCAGACCAATCAAACCGCAGAGCAGTTGAGCAACAAAAACAGTGTGGGACACAGGCGGCGGTATTCAGCACGTGCCTCCTGCAGGCGAGCGGAAGAGCGGGCCAGAAGCGACAGCACAGCGACTGACGGCGCGCGCTCCTCTTGCTGGCGAGTGTCGTTGGCACTTTCGACAGCGCGGCTGATGATCGCGTCCAGGCAGCCCTCCGAAACGGTCAAGGCCTGTTGGGTAACCACACGATTCATACAAACATATGAGGCTCGCGCGTGGGTATATGGGGGAAGGGGGGATTTGTACGGTGTCGAAGTGGTGGGCGGCCTGGCGCAGCATTTCCTGCTTGACGTTGGTCTGGCTGTTGGGGTCGCCGTAACACACATAGCCGTAGAGCGTATAGTCGCGGAAAGTCAGCGTGCGACACAGAAGTTGGCCTGTGTGCGTCGCGAGAAACGAGAGGAAGTGATCAGGTTGTGCCTTGCCCAGGCAGGCAGGAGGCAGGCAGCAAGGCAGTCAGGCGGGGGTGCATACCGCGCAGCACCAAGGCTTCGGCACACTCAGGGAACACCTCCACGCTTGCCTTGGCCAGGGACGACGCCAATAGCAGCTGGTCGACCGGATCGAGGTAGCTGCCACGCGTGGACATCCACTTCTCCACTGCTTGCATCGTCTCTCGCAGTAGCGACGCCTGAATAATACATTTTTTATATTGTAATAATTAAGTAATAAAATATTTTTTCATCAATCGACCAAGGGAGGCAAACGTACGTCCTTGGTGAGGGCGAGCTTGACTTGCTCGAGAGCCAGAGGCAGTTTGAGCATGGTGCACAACAGCATGCCGTAGTACAGGTGGCCCGATGCCGGCAAATCGCTGTTGGTGTGACGGAACGCACAGGTCATGATACGCGCACCAATTACTTGCGAACGCATTAACCACTCGCGCGGATCGCAGTGGGGAAGTGGGAAGAAGAAGAAACGCACGGCATGGAGAGGCACAGGTCGAACGCCTCGGCCGAGAGCGTGAGGTAGTTGCTCACGGCCTGGTTCCTGTTGCCCGAAATGGTGATGGTCTCGTTCCGGGTCAGCTGGCCCAGGCGATGGTAGGTCTGCAGGAGGAGGAATGCAAGGAATTCGACTGGTCAACCTTGACGCCATCGTCCTACTACGCTGGAAGGGAAAAGAAAGAACCTTGGCCAGGGTGAGATGGAAGGCGATGTCGTTGTAGCCGCTGGCGATCACGTGGCGCAGCGTCTCGGCTGCGGAGAGGAGAAGCGAATGGGCCTCGGGCGGGTTCTCCAGCACGATGTCCTCGGCGTCCTCGTACAACACCTGCCAACCGCACCATCGTCAATATAATATAACATAATATAATCTCATATAACATAATATAATTAACGGAAACATACCATGGCTTCGGCGAGCTCAGTGATACCCATGTGCTTGCTCCTCGTGTTGACCTGCACATCATAGAGGATGGGCAACAGAGATGATGTGGACCACGATCAAATCAGAGAGAACGTGTGCCGCTTAAAGTAAAGTACGTACCTGGACGAGATCGGGTTGCACGACGAGGGGAGGCTGGAAGCGCTTGTTGTACCCTTGCAGGTGCGTCCAAAACCGGTCCGACAGCACGATGCCTACCTTGTCGGCAAACCTGTGTGAACATTGCGTGAATTGGCATTGCAGTTAACTGAACTGATCAACATTGCGCGGATTGGCATTGTTGTTCTTTGAACTGATCTACGCTTGTGTTTTACGTGTCGTATGTGTCGTGTGTGCGTGTTATGTGTTGCGTGTGTTCCCGTGTGTGCTGTGTGTCGTACCTGCGCATGAGGAGGTAGAGGTTGAGCTGGAGAAGCACTCGCACGTCCTCGTCGTTTTCGAAGCTCATACGGAACTTGGCGCTCAAGAGCGACGCTACGAAAGAGAGCCATGCGATGGGCCGCGAATCCACCTGTGGAACGCAGAGATCGGTACCCGGGTACCGTTGTTATGATTTTGGTTTCCTACAAACTATGCGCCATGGAGGGGAAGGTACGCGGAAGGGTTGATGACGCAGCATCGTATTGATGAAGTTGATGGTCAGCGCCTGTTTGTTGTTGTAGTAATTGTAGGAATTAGCAGAATAAAGATAGCCTTTTCGCTATGTTTTTTTTTCATTAGAAACAATTAAAATTAAAAAAAGCGAGGGAAGACCTTGTAGGGTTCTTCGTAGGAGATCTTGATGCGGCGCATGCGGTCGCGCAACAGCTGCCGCAGCTTGTTCTTGAACACCCTGTCACGTGTTCACACGAATACACATCTTCTGTGTAAGCACGCGAATGGCGCAAGCAATCGCTCACGAGAAGGCAGTGAAGAATCAAGTACCTGGCAGTCATCTCAGTGAGCAGGAACTCCTTGGTGAACTCGTTCGTCGCGTGCTTCCTCACTTTGCCCAGATGCCTCATGTTCACTGCACACCAACAGCAACCCACGCACGCACGAGAGACTGCCATAGTTAGGGTCCATTCAAGCCACGATGGCGTGCGTGTGGCATGCAAGTACCTCCGCGGCGGTGGAACTCGTATGACAAATTGACCTGGAGCGCGTTGTCAGGCTTGAGCATGCGATCCAGCTCGCTCGCCAACTGCGGGATCACGCTCTCGTGCAGCCGCCGCGTGGCCTCCAGCACCTCCATGTTGTGCACCCGCGACTCTGGATCGCCCTTGGCCCACCTTTTGTTGCACGTCACCCACCACCACATCGACACAGCATTCACCGCACCACGTGGTGAGCCGAACGACAACTTGCAATCAGCAGCTACACGCCCCCCAAGAAGAAGAAGAAGGAAGAAGAACGAAGAACGAAGAAGAAGGGCCCAAATGCGGCGTACTGGGAGAAGGCGTCGGAGCTGAGAGGCACCGAGTTGGACCGCACGAGCTCCGGCCGCAGCAGATTGTAAAAGATGCACCGCAGGCTCTCCGACGCACGCGGCGCTTCTGCCGGGAACAGACGCGCCAAGTCTGCGCCACCCCACACACACACAGAAGTGAGAGTTATGCGAAAAACAAAGAATCATAAATATGAACCAACGACTTCAGCATCAAAGATGTGTACCGACGACGTAGAAGCGACCATCTTTGCCCTTGTGCCCCTCAAGATCGCCTGCAACGTTGAATGAGAGCAGAGTAAACAAACAAAAATCGAAAAAGAGAAATGGCAAGAGAAAGAAACAGGGAGGGACCTGGGCCGTAAAGAGCGACTTCCTTGTTGCCGACGATGTGCCGCTTGAGATGGAGCCACTTGCACGCCTGCTCCACCTTGCGACTCAGCTCGGCTTCCTTCTTCAGCACCGTGAGGCCTCCGTCGTTGGACCCGTAGCACAGCGTCGACGAACTGATCGGCAGCACTGCATCACCCCCAGTGTCAGTGCCAGTACTGCATCATCGATGATGTGATGCTGATGAGCCGAGCGCAGGTGCGGGGGGGGGTGGTACCAGAGCAGCAGACGAGACGGAAGCCGCGATAGTCGACTGTGCACATGAGCGGGCAGTGCAAGTCGGGTATGCACGCCCGATGCATCATGATCAACGACTTGAGCTCTGTGGATCGTCATATTCACCACTTCATGATTAGAACGGCCGTTGACAGCAAAGGGCGTGTAGCGGAGGAGGAGGGGTAAAGTCAGTTACCATGACCGGAGGCCTTGATGGCAAACTCGTCGGAGCGCTTCTCGCCGCCGTACATCCACACGGAATTGTATTTGCCCAGCTTGAAATCGAAGGCCAGCTTGAAGAAGATGCCGCGTACGATGTACCTGGCCAGGTGGTTATAACGAATGCCAATTTCCGTGTCAGTTCATAGTTAATTGAATGGGCGTGGCGGTATAATAGTAGTGATCAATTGGCGGTTGAGGGCGGCTCGCACTTCTGGCCTCCGGCTATACCGCCCACAGCCGCCGGTTGAATCGTCTTCTTCGCGTCGGGCTAAGAGAGAAGAAGAGCACGCGTTATCAACCTCAATGTAGTTGGCGGGAGTGCATGAACTTCAAAGTTGACACCGAGGAGAGTAGTACCAGAAAGAGCTCGGAGATGATGATCAGGCCGTACTTGCTCGCCGTATCAACGAAATCTGTTGATGATTGTAGCACAATTTATGAGCACGGTTACTGCTGCGTGTGAAGTGTGCATTATGAATTGTCTGGCGCACCTCTGGACAACCGGGCCAGCTCGGCATGCCGCTGCCTGGTGTCGCTCAGCCCCAAGACTCTGTCAAAGCACACGATTCGTGCACACCAACGCCATCGAGTGGGAGAAATGTGAGTCAAACAGGCATAGCAGGCTACGAAAGAACGTGCACGATGCGTACGTTTGCCACTCTTCGTTCCAGTCTCTCTGCCACCTGTCCTTCTTCTTCCTGTTGCGCCGCTGACGCGCTTCGTCATCCGAACTGTCCGAGCTATCGGCGCTCGAGTCGCTCGAGGAGTCGTCCCCGGCAGCAGCTTGCAGTGGGTCGACGTCCTCGTCGTCCGTCGTCGGGTCCTCCCCGCCGAGCAGCAGGTGGTGCTTGCGCCGGTCCACCAGCATACCGGCCCGCAGCACGTACTTGACTTCGTCTTCGCCATCCTCGTGGCCTTCGTCAGCTTCGCTCGCCTCTTGCTCGCTCCTGCCGCTGCCGCTGCCGCTGCTGCTGTCGTCGCTGCTGTCAGCCGAAGCTTCGGCCTCGGCCTCGGCTTCCTCGCGCTCCTTCCTCACCTGCCTCCTATGCTCGCGCTCGGCCTTGATGTTCTCATCGATGTCCACGTAGGCGTCCGACATCTCGAGCTGCTTGCCCTTATAGCGCTCATCGCCGGCCTCTCCCGGTTCGTTCTCGTCATCATTGTCGTCCTCACTCTCGCCCTTTTGTTCCTCCTCTTTCTTCGTGGCGACCTTCTTCTTCTTCTTGCCCTTGGTCCTCCTGCTCCTCTTCTTATTGTTGGTGATGGTCGCGTGCACCTGGTCGTCGTCCTCGTAGGCGCTGCTGCTGGAGCCTTCGCCCGGCTGGTAGTACTTCGCGAACCACTCCATCACCTCCTCGCCCTCGCCTTCACTTACACCGCCCTTTGCCTGCTCCTTCTTCTTCTTCTGTTTGTAGAGGGTCGCCGACTGCTGGAGGGAAGCGATGAACACGTCGGAGGCCTCGTACACGCTGCTCCACCTGTAGTCGACTGCATCGCCTGGTGCCGCTCCCTCTACGGCCCCATAGCCACCGCCCCGTGCCGCGCAGGCGCCATCGTCATCATCATCTTGCTCCATCTTGCCGCTACTCGGATTCTGGATTTCCTCATCTTCTGCGATCCACTGCTCGGGCGCGCCATAGCCTCCACCTCTGATGCCTCCCAGGCTGGCCGGGTCCTCGTCTTCCCCGCTGGCGAGATCATCGTTGACGATTTGCGCCTCTGCCTCATCTGCCGCCTTTTCTGTTCGCCTTGTTTCATCATCAACGGTCGTTATTTTCGTCTTCTTCTCTTCTTCTCCTTCGTTCTTGTCTTCGGTTTGTTGTTGATGGTGCGGCTGGCCACGAGGAGGAGCAGAGGGTGCGTCGGTAGGGCCACGGCTGGCGGCGACCGCGGCGGGAGTGCGGGTGTCTTCTTCAATGGCGGCCCACTGGCGGCGCAGGGCCATGAAATCGTAGGCTCGCGCAGACATCGTCCTCTCCTTCTTGGTTGTTGAGCACCCCTTCTTTGCCTTGGCTTCCGCACCTTTTGTTTAATTAATTCACATTGTTCAAATACTCGGCATTCTGTGTCTGGCGCGGGCTGCCCGGCTTGGAGTGAAGGAGCAGAGGATCAGCTTCAGCGTCTGATTCTCTAAGCCTCCTCATTCCACAGGTTCATAAAAGTGCTGTTACGCCACTTTCTTTATAAGGTCTTTGATACCAAAAGGTGGTCCAGTAAGGTCAAAGATCAGGAAGAACAGAGACAACATTGCGCCCTTACTTTGCCCCAACTCAAAGAAGACGATCAAGCCAGCGGCAGTGGGCGGTATTGCTGGAGGCCAGAAGTACTCTATGCGATGATACCACACGCACTTGATGTTGCTTTTGTTACTAACCACTTTTCAGTGCTGGTTGTTGGGGCCAGGTACATCGTGCGAGGCAATGTGTGGATGTACGGCGGTGAGGAACGCTCCGACGAGTTTGCCGTCAAGGCTTCCGGCCACGGTAACCATTTCGAAATTGTTCTAGCGCGCTTCAAAGACCCTTGGGTTGGGCGTGCAACTGATCGACGATCCACAGAGCTCAAGTCGTTGATCATGATGCATCGGGCGTGCATACCCGACTTGCACTGCCCGCTCATGTGCACAGTCGACTATCGCGGCTTCCGTCTCGTCTGCTGCTCTGGTACCACCCCCCCGCGCGCTGGTACCACGCCTCTTGCGTGGGCCTGACCTTGTCTTCTTCGCCTTCGTCAGGCAAAGTTGTGCCTGCCTGAGCTCCCAGTATTCGTTCACGCCAGCTGGCCTCGACTACCTGTTCACCAAATGCAACGGGCTCCGTGCTATGCGTCTCAGCTTGCACACCGCAGTGGTAAGTCGCCCACAACACCCACCAATTGTCCTACCGGCCTTTCCAGTGGTGCGCCGACACCTGCCGGCCGGAGCAGGTCTTCTTCTGGAAAAACGTATGCGTATCTCTCTCGTCCTCGATTTCAATTAGCTCTAACCTTGCGGAGGGCGCAGACGGTCGTACAGGCACTTAGGGACAAGTGTCACCCACCTCGACCTGGCCGGATGCACGCTGGACTTAGGCAGCCTCAACAAGATCAGCACCGCAGGCCTCATCCCTGTGCTCCAGCAAAACTCGTGCGCTATGACACGACACATGACACGCACACACACACCGACACACGACACACATGGCACACAACGCACACGACACACAAAACACACAGACACGACACTACACACACGGAACGACACGACGCGCACGACACGCACGACACACACGACACACACGACACACGACACACGACACACGACACACCAACTGTGCGTGCGTGCGTGCCTACCTTGCCGGATGGTGTCGCCCGCCCAAGCTCACCTCGCTCTCCTTGAAGGACAACAACATCAGGGCCTCAGTTACTTGACTGCCGGCGCTCCCAAGCTGTTCGGGCCATCGCCGATTTCATTGTGTGGAAGTGTGCCGTGTGTGTGCCGTGTGTGTACCGTGTGTGGCCGTGCGTGGCCGTGCAACACTAATCGCGTGTCCCTCGTGCAAGTTTACGAAGGCCTCCGTCAAGGCCCTGGCGCTGCGGAAGAGCACTGCGGAAAATAAGTGAGCAAATTCCGTGCACCTTGGCGGCGCACGCAGAAAAAAGCCAAAGCGGCGCCTTTTGTGCGTGCAACAGTGAGGCGACCCAAGCTGCGTGTCGGGCACCGCCCCACCTCGGCGGCCAGCATTGGGCGGTTCGTCTTCTCACACAGGTGACCTCGCATGCTGACGAAGATAAGCACAAAAGGAAAAGACAAAAAACTCAACTTGTTTATTGTGTTTTGTTTGGAATCGGGCAATGAAATGTCTGGTTCTTCTCGGGGCGGTCGACAAAAATTACGAGCAGCCAGCTCCATTTCTTCATCGTTGTTGGTGCGTGATTCACACGCCATTCGATCTTGATGCTCAACGACGCCTGAGCTTTTCTGGCGTTATCCATTTCCTCTCGCGTCGCCTTCGGTTTGAGGCACAGCCATGGTGGTGCGTACACAAAATCTTAATCACCAAAATTAAATTAATTACTTTTCCATCGCGGCATGAGCCGAATCTTAATTGATGCCATAACAATTACATCAACTCTTTATTGAACAATAATCATTATACTTATTATTTGTAGTTCATTCTCACGCCCACGAGGATGGTGCGCCAGTTTATTATTGTTATTAACTTTATTATTTTTATTTTTTGTCGGGGGGCGTCCTGGCTGCAGGAACTGTATCGAGTGGAAGGCTCGCTGGCCTTCCTGTCACTGGTGGGGTCCTTCCTCATCATTCTCTCAGCCATGTTCGTCAAGGTGCCGCTCTACACGCCCGCCGCCGCGCATGTCGTCTCACGAGCTCACTGAACTCGCTGCGTGCGTTGCGTGCCGTGTGTGTCGTGCCGTGTGTGTCGTGACGTCGCACGCGTGTGTCGGCTCAGGAACTGCGACAACACCCAACGAATCTCGTGCTCCTCCTCTCGATATGCGACTTCATGTTTGCATTGAAGGTGCCACGCAACACCTCCTTTATGCTGTGCGTGTCGTGCGTGTCGTGCGTGTCGTGCATGTCGTGCGTGTCGTGCGCTGACGATAAGGCGTGTATAACGCACGCACACACAGTTTGCGATCACGTCGATCTTGCCGAATTCGATCTCGTACCAGGACATCACGGCCTACTGCATCGGGCAGGCCGTGTGGGCTCAGTTCTGGGGCATGGCCTCCATCAGCTGGAACGGAATCATTTCGCTCAACTTGATGGCCAACTTGCGCAAGCCGTTCCTCGACACCTCCAAGGTACTCTACTCGTCTGCCCCTCGTGTGCGCGTGCGGTGGTGCACGTGTGCTGTGCGTGTGCGGTGTGTGTGTGTGTGCGGTGCGTGTGCGGTAGTAATGGCTGCTTGTGGGTGTGTAGTGGGGCACATACTACCACCTGTGGGTGTGGGTGCTGTCCGGAGTCACGACCATTCTCCTGGTGGTGCTCAACATGTATGGTGTGTCGGGCGATGGAACGTACGACCCCCACAATATATGAAATAGAACTACTTCTTTTGAACAATTTCAAGAATTCATATTATTTTTATTTTACTAATGTTGTAATAATATTAAACCGTGCGCGCTGTGATAGGTGTTGGATCAAGGGCGACTACAACTTGTTCAGGCTCGTGTTCTTCATCCCCCTACGTACACACCTCGACCACATATTTGATTAATTTATTTTATTTTATGCTATGCTATGTTATTTTATTATTTATTATTTTCTGTGTTTAATTCATATTCGTGAATGCCGCAGTGGCCTATTTTGTATTGGGCGCGAGTGCCTTCATGATCGGTCTCTCGTCCACACGCTCCCTGTCCGAGGAGGTACACCCGTCGTCACCTCCATTGGTTTCTTCACGTCATTGGTGGTGGTCGTTGACGTCATCATCGACATTGTTGGTTTCTTTCTTTCGTTGCGCAGTCGTCGGTGCGTACGCGCATGGTGTTTCGTATGTTCTTCTACACGTCGGTGTTCATCATCTGCTGGAGCGGTCCGCTGGCCCATCGCTTCACCCAGTACTGGCGCGTCTACAGCGACGTCTTCATCTACGCCGACGCCATCGGCCAAAGGTCTCTCTCTTCTCTCCTCCCACTTCTGCTACCGCGCAACTGAGCTTCTGACACGCGCGTTGTGTGTCGTACCGTGTGCGGTGTGTGCGGTGTGTGCGGTGTGTGTGTGTGCGGTGTGTGCGGTGTGTGCGGTGTGTGTCGTCATAGTGTGCAAGGGTTCGCGAATGCGCTGGTGTGGCTCACGAATCCGTCGTTCTTCGGTTCGTTCAAGAAGAACATCCTCATGCGCGTCCCCGTCCTGCGCAGCTACTACTTCAAGGTATACATGTGGCCTACATAGCGACGTTCAGCGACCGGTTGCTCACGATCTGCGTATTGTGTGTGTGTGTGTGTGTGTCGTGTGTGTCGTGTGTGTCGTGTGCGGTGTGTGTCATGTCAAGCTTGACGATACCAACCTTCCGCTTCTGCGCGACTTGGGCGTCCATGAATACCTCCACGATGATAGGTTCCACTTATATTCTTTCTTCCGTTCTTTCGTTCTTCTTCGTTATTCATTCTTTTTTACACACGAAACAAACTCACCACACGACATCACCAGGCAAGACATGCAAAAGCTGGACATTGTCATCCGCAAGAACATCATCACATTCCTCCTTTATGGCATGAAGGAAGCCGTACGATCTCTCCCCTCTCCTCTCTCTCTCTCTCTCTTCTCTCTCTCTCTCTCTCGCTCGTCTTCACATTTGCTCACGCGCGCATGACACGACACGACACCCAGTGCGAAGACGTCCAGAGCCGCTACGAGGAGCCGCTCAACGAGGCCGACTTCAGGGAAGTGCGCGACATCCTCGAACTCAAGTACGGCCTCTTTTATCAATTAATTGTACACTATGTTATTTATATTATTATTGATTTATTTATTATAGTTGATGAGAGAAAATATTAATAAATTAATTTATTACTATCAATTCCTTTTTCTTACCAATGTTGGGCGTGTGGGACAGGTACGAGAACACGCGCACGATGAAGGAGTATCGATTCGTGGACTACTGTCCCTATGTCTTCCAGAAGCTTCGCGCCCAGGCCGGCATCACCCCCGAGGCCTACATGGTACGCCTCTCTCTCTCTCTCTTGTGTGTCGTACACCTGCGGTGTGACGTGCGTGTCGTGTGTGTCGTGTCGTCTGACTGTGTCTCTTGTCGCTGGCCGTGCGCAGGCGTCGATTCAGCCGGAGCTGTTCCTCAAGAGCCTGTCGAACCAAAAGTTCTCGGAGGGCCGCAGCGGGAGCTTCTTCTGCTTCTCGCCGGACAAGTGCTTCATCATCAAGACCATCCCCGAGTCCGAGGCCAAACTCCTCAACAAGATCCTGCCCGCCTACTACCAGGTCTGGCACCACATCACCTGCTGCTGACGTCACACTCACATTTGTTTAAAGTTGATTTTATTCATTTGTTCATTTATTTATTCATTTAGTCATTTATTTATTTGAATTATTGTAGTTTATTATTAATTATTGCATTAATGGATTAATTGGTGGTGGTGCAGTACATCGGCAACAACCCGGATTCGCGGTTGATGCGCTTCTACGGCCTCCACGCGATCAAGATGCACTACGGCGACCAGGTCTTCGTCATCGTGATGAGCAACGCCTTCCGAACGCACCGCAAGATCCACGAACGATACGATCTCAAGGTACGCACACGCAGCAACGCACACGACACACGACACGACACACACGACATACGACACACGACGGTTGTGATTTGACGATGTCGGGCCGATCGCAGGGCTCGTGGGTGCGAAGAGAGGTGGGCAAGGACTTCCGGGACAACCCGGGCAAGGTCCTTGGCATGGACATCGACCTCAAGGTAAGTAAGCCAGGCCACCGCCCTCACCATCCACCAACCCACGTTATGTACGTCGAGTGCTACGCACGCGCTGACCAACACACCACACACACACCACACGTGTGCGGCCGCCCCCAGGCCATGGGACGCAAGGTGCGGCTGACCAACGAGCAGCGAACGGCCATGGTCCAACAAATCACCGACGACGCCACCGTACGCACACTCCCTTTTTTTTCCTTTATTTATTTATTATGATTAGTATTATGTAAATTAATGAGATTATTTTATTTTATTTTATTTAACGATAAATGTTTTGTTTTGTGTTTGGTGTCTACAGTTCATGTGTAGCTTGGGAATTATGGACTACTCCATCCTGCTGGGCATCCATTTTGTCGACAGAGCCGCCGAAGGCACCACGGTCGCGATCGAAGGGGTCGCGGCGAGTGGCGCCGCCGATGCTACGGATGGCGGCGCCGGCGCCTCGTCGACGCCGCAGACGCCGCAGCGGCTCCTGAAGAACGGCGATGAAAGCGAAAGCGAAAGCGAAAGCGAAGGCGAAGGCGACGACCGAAGACCGCTGCTCGACGGCGGCCGGCGCGCCGAGGACCTCGAAGCTGGCCCGAGCACCGTCGAGAGCACCTTGGGTACGCCCGCACCCCCCCCCCTTTTCTCCATTCCTCTATTCCTGTGCGTGTGCGGTGGTGCGTGCGCGTGTGCGTGTGCGTGTGCGGTTGGGCGAGTGTTTTCACGCTCGTGTGTGCGTGTGTGCGTGTGCGTGTGCGTGTTCTCCATATCCATACATAGACGGCGTGCTCAGTTTAGAGCGGGAGAATTACATTCCCCTCCACATTCGCCCCTCCGTCTCCGAAATTGAAAAACAGCGCCGCAACCAGAAGAAGATGGACAAGAAGAAGATGATGAAGAGCGGAAGAAGTAGAAGAAGGCGGGAGAGAGGCAGCACCACCAATAATGCTTCGCACTCCTCGCCTCCGCTGCCCTCCTCAGACCATTCCATCAACCTCGCAGCCAGCAGCCCCGAAGACTACGTCGACGATGCCGAGCAGGACAAGTCGGGCAGCCACACGCCGCTCCGCGCGCGCCGCACCAGCGACGATGACGAAGTGAAGAAGGAGAAGAAGAAGAAGGAGAAGATTGAAGACGCCTACGCGGATGAAAGCGACTACTCGACTGATTCGTACGACAGCGAGGACGAATTTAGCGACGACGTCGAGGGCCGACTGTTCAGGTACCGTAGTGCGTGTTGCGTGTTGCGTGTGCGGCGTGTTGTGCGGAATGTGACGATGCCTACAGAGAACTAACACGACAACGCGCGCACACACGCCACACACACACACACACACACGCCGCACACACAACGACACGACACGACACGAATGAATGCAGGGATGAGGGGTTCTTGTCGGTGGATGGGAAGGAGATCTACTATCTGTGCATCATCGACATCCTGCAGCTCTACGACCTCAACAAGAAGGCCGAACGCTTCTGGAAAGTGCGCGTCATGCACAAGGATTTCGTACGTCGCTCCAGCTTGCCTCTTGATATATGTGGTCTGTTGTCGTTTGCCTTGATCGAAGGAACACTGTTTGTTTTGTTGTCTAATTTGAGGTGTGTGCGCGTGTCGTGTCGTGTCGTGTGTGCGGGAAAAAAACACGTGTGTGGTGTGGTGTGTGCAGCATGGAGTATCGGTGCAGCCGCCACCACGATATCGGGATCGGTTCGTGGCGTGCGCGTTCGATCTGGTCACCTCGCCCGACGCCACGGCCTCCTGAACAAGCGCGTAATTTGTTTATTCATTTTCTCGTAATATTCTTTTGTCTTTTTAGAAAGAAATGCTTCCCGCTCTTTAAAGAGCGAAAAACGAAAGCGAAGACTTAACTCACCAAGTCAAAGATGAACAAGCGGCCATGCAAGAAGGCACGACTTTGCTCCACCTCGGGCGAGGAAGAAGCTGACTTGCCACCTGGTGGCTCCCTGTGGGACCTGCTGAGCAGCCTGCCGGACCTGGTGCTGGCCCACCTCCTCAGCATCTTCCTTCCGCCCTCCCACGGCCGTACCCACTTGCCCCCCAAACAATAAGAACAATAAATGCAATTTATTTGATATCTTTTCTATTTCTATATTTCTATTTGATGTAATTATTTATATTTATATTTCCTCTTTCTGGACAGTGCGCGTGCTGCCGAACCACAGGCGGCGGCTCTACCACGCGGCCAAGGCCTTCCTCGAGCGCGGCGACGACCCCGCCACTCCCTGCCCAGAGAGCTTCTGGTACTATTTATAATATATATACTATATTATATTCCATATATATTACATTCCATAGATATAATATATATATATTAAAGACGTGGCAAGTCTCATCACCACCCCGACCAGGCACGATGACACGGACCAGTACGGCCACCACACGCTCGCGCCGCGCATCGACGCCGCGGTGCTGGCCCTGCGCGCCACGTGCCGCGCCCTGCGCGACCGCGTGGACCTGGTGCTGCGCCTTCCGCCGCTGTCGTTCGTGGACCAGCTCCACGCGTGGCTCCGGGAGCAGGTCGGCCCCGCGGCGCCGGCCATTGGCGACATCGAAGCCGCGCGGCGGCTGACCCAGCAGGCGAGCGCCCTCACCGGACGAGCCCACGCGCTGCTCCACCAACTGCGGTTCGGCCCTGCCCTTCCATTGGCTGCCCATATCTCAACCCTGACACGACACGACACACACGACACACGACACACGCGACACACGACACACGACACACGATACGCACGGCACGTACGTGACACACACGACACGACACACGCGACACGCGACACACGACACACGATAGGCTGGAGGAGGTGGTGGAGGAGGTGTGTCGAGAATGGAAGATCGGGCGGGCCAAGCGCAGAGCACTCGCCCGACTGACGCGCCCCGAGGAGGAGGGGGAGGAGGCGGGGCAGCAGCCGCGGCTGCGGGTGGTGCACTTGGCCCACAGGAGCGACCTGGTGGGCGGGGTCGGCTGCCAGGCCATCGACGCCAGCCTCACGCTCTCGCTCCCCGGCCTACCCACGGTGGGTTTCCCTTTTCTCTTCTTTTCTTTCTCTTTTTCCCCGTCTGTTTCACACCCGCCATGTGTGTCGTGTCGTGTGTCGTGTTATGTGTCGTGTCGTGTCGTGTCGTGCGCACACGCACAGAGCTGGTGGAGATTGGTCTTGTGTCGGAGTTGACCTACGAGACCGACCTCACGGTGCTCCTCGCGCTCCACACGCGCTCGACGGAGTGGTGCCGCCGTCTGGGCCTCTCCACCGCCCAGCCGCCGCCGCCGCAGCCGCTCGACGCTTCCGGCCACCACCCGGCAGCAGCGGCGGCCCACGACGCCGACGGCGGCGAACAGTCGACGACGCGCGCGCTGATCGGGTGGAGCCAGGGCGAAGCGCGGCTGCACACGGCCCTGCTCGCCAAGCTCTGGGCCGCGCTCGGCTTCGCCTGCCGCCCCGGCCTCGTCGGCGACGACCCGATGACGATAGAAAAGAACGATGACGACGACGAGGTGTGGGGCGGGCACGAGGTGGCGGCGGTGCTGCTGGGCTGCCTGGGCTTCATGAGCCGCGCCGACGTGCTCGACGCGAACCCCTTCAAGGCCGGGGGCGCGGTGGACGAAGACGCCGAAGACGACGAGGCGCGCGAGCTGGCCGACGCAGAGTGCGTGGAGCGGACCACGGCGAGATTCAACGAACGGCGATCCGTGGTATGTGTGTCCTGTGTGTCGTGCGTGTCGTGCGTGTCGTGTCGTACACACCATGATCACCGCACACGCACACGACACACACGCGACGCCACAAATGCAGGAGCCGCTGCTGAGGGGCTGGAATCAATTTCTGCGCGGCCACGTGGCTCAGCCAGCGGGGCTGGGGCGACGGCAGGCGCTGGTCGCGTGGGAGCTGGTGACGCGCACCGTCGAGCGCTACGTTGGCCAGCTGCGCGTGTCGCACATCGGTCACGCCCTCGAGGTCCTGCATGGCCTGTCACCAGTCGGCCGCATCGACC